TGCAGTTTCGGCATTTCTGCATTTCTTCAAGTCGATAAGTATCTATTGCTTTTCTGCAGATTCCGCACTTCTGCATTTTCCGCATTTCTTAACGAACGCAAGCTATGAACGCGGCCTCAGCAAGAGCTATGATTCCAACAGTGTGAACAAATCTTCACAATTGAGGGTACATCAAGAGCAGAAGAAAAGCGAAAGGGTCTTCATAAAATAATTGAGCTAATATTTAAAACTATAACAAGAGTCCAGATAAACATAATTAAGGTGATACTCAGAAATCCAATCTCTTCGATATTGTGTAAGGAAATCAGCCAAATATTATGACTGAGTAAAATAAATTCTCCTCCCCCCTCCTCTAGTTGAGCACCGCAGAAGAAAAAGAGGTGCAAAATTTCGAAAAGTAAGTCAAAAGGCAACTGAAAGCACATCAGGTCAACAAGGACAATGGTATAGAATAAAAGCGAAAAAAAACTTAGATAGTGCAAAACCCAATCCAGCAAACCTCTAGAAAATTAATTTCGAGGAAAAAAAAAAACATAAATACGCGATAATTCTCACTGACCGGAATGCTGGTGAGCAATGAGCTGGAACGTTCTTGTGTCGCTTCTCGAAACGGCGGTACTTCTTGACGAAGTGAAGATAATCACGACGTACAATGATAGTTCTAGTCATCTTGTTCTTCAAAACTACACCAGTTAAGATGTTTCCACGGATCGCACAGTTGCCAGTCCACGGGCATTTTTTGTCGATGTAGGTGCCCTGACTAGCCTAAATTAAAAATGATTGATCCCTCACATGAAAAGGAATAATAGGACACTGAAGCTCTTCAGAATGACGTACCTCAAGAGGTCACTGAAGCTCTATAGAATGACGTACCTCAAGAGGTGTCTTGAAACCGAGTCCGATGTTACGAACATATCGCGGAACTTTCTTGTTACCGGCCAATATACGAGCCTTATTGTTGAGGTTGATTGTAGGTTGCTTCAGAAATGCCCTCTCCACTTGCTCAGCCATGTTGGCTTCCCAGGTCCTAGAACAAGCACAAAATGAAATCAAAATTCGTAGTTTGTATGCAGTTAGTTGAGAACTTAAGATTTTCGAGAGACGCGCAACATATCAAAGCTAGACGATTAGCAAGAAAGGTGCATTCTAATCCGAAACGACAGAAATCCATTGCCTCAAATGAAAGACCAATCCTAGAACTTCAAGAAACGTAAAGAAACGAAAGCAATTGCACTGCATTAAAAAAAACCCCGTTCCAGAGCTCACAATTTGCATGAATCACGAAAATCTGAGCAACATTTCGTAACTATGCTCATTTTAAAACAACATATACTTTCAAAAATAACAAACTAGCCGTAAAAGAACCAGAAAACCGATCAAACGCTTTAGGCGGTCAAAAGAAAAGCGCGCGGGCTGCTTGAGCCGAATGACACTGTAGCGAACGTTCGCTTCAAGACCAGCGCAGGCTACGCGATTCGCTGTCCTTTAGTACCAGCATGCGTATGGTATATCCACACCATTGCTGTGAAGTTGTGTAAACATTTGTTCCTTGTTTGAAAATGTGTCTCAACCAGGGGAATCATAACGATGTGGTGACTGACCCCTTCTCTTTCTGACCGGGGGAAGGGGGCTCAGGGCCCGAGACGCCGCGCCGAATACAACTTTGGAAGGTTTTCGTTTGAATAGAATCCTTTGTGTTCCTCAATTTATCCTGGATGTCCTGTTAAGGTTTTCCTGGCGCATAATCAAAGATCGGTTGTCGGGTGGAGGGAGGGAGGGGGGCTGGCGCGCTGCCAGCCCGTTTTCGACAAGTTGTGGTCGCTTGCTAAAATCGCGTTGGTATGGTAGGGCCCTACTACCTCCCTTAGTTGGCGCTGCTCTACACTGTTTGATAACTAATAGCCACCAGAATCGACCTTTGGAAATTGTAACTCTTCGGATGGTTGATTTTTGGGTTTGTTGATGACGACCCCCTCTCCCTTGCTCGATCCTACCTTTTTTAGGGAAATTGGAATCTGGAATAATGTTCGAGAAACTGAAAAGTGTCAGGGAGTTGGGAAAACTCGGGACGATGTTAAGCAGGATAGGGAAGGGGGTTTCGTACGAAAGGAGGCAGTTCTGAAAGCCATTTCACACATCATTGGTATCCTGGGTATGACCCTCCTAATTTTGTCCTTCTGACCACTCTTTTGCTAAGTTACAGCCTTGTTCGCTGACGATGCATAGGCGTGTCGGGGGAAAGGCGGGCTGGGCTAGCTCTCCACCAATGAAAGAAGCTGGGCAAGCGGCAATCGGTGGTGCAAAATGGACTGGCGCTCGCCACCCCAGCCCCATCATCAAGACTGTACCTACGCTTTTACCAAATGCGAGAGAGTGCAGGGTGTCTGATGCGGTAAAAAAACCCACCAATCAAAAAATCCTCCCGCGCCGGAATATGATTTCCTCCCCAGCAATTTGTGGTCCACTCAAAGACGATGTGCCTAATCAGAGAATGCCTTGCGCTGCGGAGAAACTTCGCAGAATACGATTCCCTCAAAATTTCCTCATCTGGTACGACCCCCCGTTCTCCATCTTACATTCTATCTCCCTATTCCATTCGTCATTGCCCGAACTGCCGAACTATCTAGCAATTTTTCCCGAGAAATTGCCGTCGAGTCGCGCGTAGGGGGGGGGGCTGGGTGGGGAGAGGGACTGGGGTATGTAGCTTATGTGGGACGGGAAAAACTGAAAAGTCAATAGTCGAAAGCATTTTTTTCAGCGAGTACGACCCCTCCTCCAGTAACCAAATAGGACCCCCTCGCTGGGATCCCCCACGTGCGAGTGCTATGGCACGACCTCCAATCGCGCGAAGGTCTGAAGATTGAAGTTGCGGTGGAAGTGGCGTTACTCGAACACTTGGCTGTACCTTCGCGCCTGAAGACGCAACCAGAATCTCTTGCTCCTGCCTGTCTTCACCTTACTAGAAGGTCGACTATCCCACAACCAAACATTTACAAAGTGACATTTATCAGGCACAATATTAATTTGCTCCATTCCTTTGACTAACTAGTTGTCCTTCGTATTTCCATATTCCGTTCGTGATAGTAGAAAATGTCGTCCAGGATGCATTCGCATTTCTCCTGTATAACATCCAGGTACTGTAACGAAAAGTGATTAATGCATTGCGAACTGCACTAAACTAACAACGAGATGCAGAAATGTGGCGTTAACTGGGGGGGGGGTGTTCATCGCGTCAGAGGCTCGGCATTGAACGCGAACTAGCAGCCTACTATCATTGTCAGGGATCATGACTGTATTTCCGTAAGACGTCTCCACCCGATGCTCCGATTATCATGTTTCGCAAATTTCCTTTTTATGACTTTCTTTCGGGGCGATTGTTTTGGAATCCACTTTACCCAGTTCTTTGGTGATGTTATTCACCCAGACAAGATCCGCCATATCGGGAATGATGGTCTCCAACCTGTCCGCTAGCTCTCGAGTTCAAACGAACGGAACATCGTCATCAGTTTAGGTCTCACCTATAATGGCAGCTTGGGACAATTGAAACGTTTTTTCTTTTCTTTCTTTCTTTTTCTTTCTTGATTCCTACCTCTGGTTTGAATAGCGTCTCGAAAAGGATTTTATAAGGTGGCTGAATAAAGTCCTTTCGTTCATCCAGGGGTATTTCGACAGTATTCGCTTCGAAGGCTGCTTTATAACGAAGGACCATGAACAGAAATTATTATCAACAAACATCGTCGATGACATACATCATCCAATTGTGTGGTCATGGAGCGAAACTCCGACGCTAACCTGTTTTATTTGATTCGGGAAAAAATTCTTGTGTATGTGTACTCCTCTGATGTCCTCAAGGTACTCCATAATAATATATCCTTTGATAGGATTTGAATCTGTAAGATGAGGCTTGAACTTCCAATGGGCTCTATGGGTTTTAGGAGGGGCTACTTCGGCGGCGTGAGCCCATTATCCGCCATTGTTGAAGCGGTCAAGCGACAACAAGTGAGGAGTGGGTCTTAGCGCGGTGCCAGCTCTTTTTCAATCAGTTGTTTTCGCTTGCCCGCTTCAACTGTGATGAAGAACGGGTTGTCGCCGCCCTTCCCCTCCCCAAAATACCCCAGCATCCGCTGCGAACAAAATTGTACGTGGCTAAGGCTCTGGAAAGTGACAGGTGGCACCTTCCTAAACACATGGGGCCTCCTAGCCAGCGTGCCCATAATAGAGATGTACAGCCGTTATCATTGAATTTAGTCGGGGCGTGTCGGTACTGCGTGGGTTTTGACGCGGCGACAGCTCGTTTCCCATCACTCACTGATGCCCGGAAACGCAGCGATCGATGGAGAAGGGCCGGCTTCGGGCCAAAACCCACGCAAAGCTGACACGTCCCTATTGACTCCAGAGAAAACGGGTATCCCAATTGAGTGCAATTCGTAAATGGTGATCTGCAGCTGATAGTCCATGGAAAACTATGAGCTCCACCTTTCCCCCTCGCACCATTGACATTTCAGATTGTCAACGCCTCGTCAGATTTTTAAGACTATTTTGCCCATGATTT